CTGAGCGGACCCGGTGGATTCTCCTCCTCCGCAAACCCTAGCTTCTTCGATCGGTGTTTCTCGTCCGCCGCCGCTTCGGATTCCAATCTTATTCGCGCCACCCTTTTTCCCGGGGACGGAATCGGTCCTGAGATCGCGGCATCCGTCAAACAGGTACGAAAAACGTGGCCCGTCGATAACTTATCCGGTTGTAGTTGAGTAGCCTTTTTTTAACCTTTTGAATTTTGATGAGCGGGATGAAGAATGTGGAGTTTCCTTTTGCTGCATGTTGGAATTACGGTGTTTGAGTTGTTATCGAGCTTGAATTTTGTGGTAAAATGTTATTGGTTGTGCGTGCGTGTGTAGAGTGGACGATCCACTTGATTGTTGAAGGAATGGTGATCAGTGAACGATTGTGTATGTGTGTATTTCGTATGATAATAAAGGAGAATGTTCGATCACGTTTAGAGAATTTTTCTCCATTTTGTGCGTGAGCAATCGAGCTAGAGTTTTGTTCACTTTGCTGCTGGTATAACGTCACATTAGGAGGAAAAAAAGTTACAGATAATAATGAAGGAGACAATCCAATTTTACACGAACACTGTCCTGTCTGGTCGAGCCTTGTGAGTTGCTTAAAACTAATGAAGACGTGGTTGAGAGAAAAAGTATAACCATTTTTTCGCATTCGGGTGCTGTCGATATCTAGAAAAAGGAATTCCTCAATCCTCACTGCTGTTATCAGTGATCAATTTCAAGATTGGCTATAATTGAGCTTGGTTATTACTGGATAAATGGTTTTGGTATGCGAATCATGGTATTTATAGTTCAGTTACTATGCATTTGGTATTTTATTAGTCATAGGTGCAGAAATATTGCTTCAGTATACTGTGTCCTGGATGTGTGATGTGATTGTATGGCATTGCCGGGAAGAGACGTCGATATTTTTTGTGCTTAAATTTATAACTTCTGATGTCTTTCAATACATTTTGCTATAGTTGGAACAGTTTTCAATGTATCTTGAATTATGTAAGTGAAGTGATGATTGATTAGTAGATAAAGGTGTATCATGATGCAATAGTAAAGATAATTGATTACGAGAAGAAACTTTTCTTATCCTACTTTACCTTTTGTGAAGTAACATAACTAATTGGTGAAAACCCAGGTATTTAAAGTTGCAGATGTGCCGATTGAATGGGAAGAACATTTTGTGGGGTCCGAAATAGATCCTTGTACCCAGAGTTTCTTGACACGGGAAAGTCTGGCATCTGTGAGGCGAAACAAAGTCGGCCTAAAAGGGCCTATGGCCACACCAATCGGGAAAGGTCACCGCTCTCTTAACCTTACCTTGAGGAAAGAGCTCAATCTGTATGCCAATGTTAGACCTTGTTACAGCCTACCTGGGTACAAGACAAAATACGATGGTGTTGATCTCATTACTATTCGTGAAAATACCGAAGGAGAATACAGTGGTCTTGAACATCAGGTAAGAATTAAGATTATCATTGGCATGGACTAAATCCTAAAGCAACTCAATATGTCGTCAAATTTGATTAATGATCAAGCTTCTTGAGTTTTTGTCTAGGTGGTCAGGGGTGTTGTCGAGAGTCTCAAGATCATTACACGCTCGGCGAGTCTAAGAGTTGCAGAGTATGCTTTTCACTATGCTAAGACCCACGGACGAGAAAGAGTATCTGCTATTCACAAAGCAAATATCATGCAGAAAACTGACGGTCTTTTCCTTAAGGTCTGACCGCCTTTTTCATATTATTTCGAACAAGTTCTTTCACTTTTTTCTGCATCAGCGGTTCATTGTTTCTTCACATGCTGCAGTGTTGTCGTGAGGTTGCAGAACGTTACCCGGAGATAAACTATGAAGAGGTTGTGATTGACAACTGTTGTATGATGGTATGAAAGATTTCTATCTGCTATAATAGATTTAGCAAGCCGATATCTCTATTAAATGCGAGTTACTATTCTATTGAAGAGAAGACCAATCATAATATTTCTTTTCCTCAATGCACAGCTTGTGAAGAATCCATCACTTTTTGACGTGCTTGTGATGCCGAACCTTTATGGTGACATAATCAGTGACCTATGTGCTGGTTTGATTGGAGGCTTGGGCTTAACTCCCAGGTAATAATATTCTCTTCCATTGGGTCTTTCAAAAGTATCTCACTCGTTTTTAATTAAGTTTTACTTAAATCTGTTCCCTTCACAGCTGCAATATTGGTGAGGGAGGTATCGCCCTTGCCGAGGCAGTACATGGTTCCGCACCTGATATCGCTGGAAAGGTTAGCATTTAAACGATTCTAAATTTTCTTCTGCTCTTCTTTTAATGATAAATCCGATATTTGCTGAAATTCATTTTTTTTTTTACAGTAAACTCTGTATATAACATATACACATATTTATTTCGATGCATCAATTCATGGCTGGATTCATATGTATATATCTTCTGGATCGTGCATTTTCTTTTTTGGTCGCCTTCGTTATCAACCGCACATTTTTGTAGAATTTGGCAAACCCAACGGCTTTGCTCCTGAGTGCCGTGTCCATGTTGCGCCATCTGAATCTTCACGAGAAAGCAGATAGAATCCAAGACGCTGTACTGAAAACGATTGCAGAAGGTAAGTACCGAACGGGCGATCTTGGCGGGAAATCAACGACTACCGACTTCACCAAGGCCATCTGCGATCATCTTTAAACGGTCGTTCGTTCGTTCGATGTAGTCTTCTGCAACATTGTTTGATTGTTTTCTTCCAATGCAAATTTTAGACCATTAATTGATGTTTGAGGCATGATTAAATTGCTTCAAGGAGAGGTTTTTTCAAGCTATTTTACTTTACATGGAGTGAATAAACTATAGACATTGATGTCCCTTTTGTAATGGGGATTGATTTTTTTTTTTGTTTTTTTTTCAATCTGTTATTATTGTTTTGTTTTGTTTCATTATTTTTTATTGTTTTGTCGGTGATTCATTAAATGTACATAAATAATCGAGAAATCTGTCGGTGCTTCTTGGTTTGGGAGGAAGATTTACTTGAAATATATTCTTCTCGACCAATGCTCTCAATTATTTAATCTAATAGAGTTATAGTGATTGTAATATTGGTTATAGAATTAAGTCATGAAAAAAAAAAATCACTTTTCTCCCAATCATCACGTGATTTCATTACAAGGTCATACAAAAATTCCATCGCACAAAAACTTCACTACAAGATCAAACAAACAGTTTTGCTATGGAGTCATCGGATGGTTCGACTTATAGAGTGATCCATATTTATTCGCTAATCGTATATTGACACGTGTCCTACAATAAATACATTTAAGCATGTGTCAATGCATTAAGTGGTGGATGACTCCATAAAAAACCATCCGATAACTCTATAGAATTTTTTTTCATACAAAATGCTCACACACATTATGTACAAAAAATTTCATTACAATATGCAAACTTCTAGACTTAAATATTTATACTTTTTAACATTTATTTATGATATTTTCGTAATGTAAATATGCAATTTTAATTAAAAAATGCCACGAGTCCACCTCACTAATTATTATGTAGTTTCATGAATTTGTTTACACTTGTCACTGTTTATTTTTTCCTTTTTTTTTTAATCATTCATTTGTCCACTTGATTAAGTTAACACATCTAATTAATTCACCAATGTAGTTTTTTCAATTGAAAAGAAAAAATGATTTTCAAGATCTCACTGAAGTTGGTGGGAGAAGATCTCAGCCGTCCAAAGCTCTCACTCCCTAACCCGGCCCTACCCTCAACAACCCACAGTTACTCGGTATATATGGACCGACCCTATATATACACAAACACACACACCAAACTCCCTGCTCTTTCTCATAGCTCCCTTTGAACTCCACAAAGCATTCAATCCAAGCTCATTTTCATCTCAAATCGCTCGATAATGGAGTACGAAGGAATCCTCCTGGGAATGGGTAATCCTCTCCTCGACATCTCCGCCGTGGTGGATCAGGAATTTCTCGACAAGTAATTTTCTATACTCTTTTTTTTTTTTTTTTTTTTTTTT